TGCTGAACAAAGCATAGCTACAAGTCTCAAAGGAATTACCAGGTTCTCTCTCCTCCCCTCCCCCCCTCCCTTTTGCAGGAGGAGAGGGTGCTAGTCTCCAAATCATTAGATTTGGTAGGATATTAAGCATCCTCTTCTCTTGTGCCTGCCCCCCCAGGTCCTGTCAAAGTCAATCCTGAACATTTTTTCAAATAAAAGGCTTTAGATGGTTTTACTTACATCTGTCTTCATAGGCTTTAGCAACCTGTTCAAACTGCTTTATCTCCTGTGCACAGTTCTGAACAAAACTATGTCCTTCTCTTTGCTGGCAAGCTCCCATTCTTTCCTGAATTATCTTCACAATTTCTTCATCAACTTTCCTGTGTGAAAGATCAATATGATTGTAGGCATGACAATAGCTTCCTGCAGCTGGAGAATATTGTAATAAAATGGTCTCTTATTCTATCCAGAATTTAACTTATCAGCTGATTTAATATGGATACAATTAAAGGTAGAAACTAAGCAAAATCAAGCCCCAGAGAAGGAGACTCAGTAGTGATCTTTGAGTTCTACTCTGAGCCTAGTCCAGGCACACTGCAGAAAAGTGCACTTTTGTCAGGGATAGATGAACACCAGCAACTGTCCAATACTTGAAAAGTTTTTACAGAAGCTTGTTGGCTTTGTGAGCAGAAGATAAGATTCCTAAAGTGTAACAGGTGCTGGAGGAAACCTCTGTGGAATATACTGTGCTAAGCTATGACAATCAGACACAGGCTTCTAAATTTTCATGGGAAAAAATTCCATTGTTTGCAGTTTCAGAAGAAAGTTGCATACAAACCCCAAACAATCTACTGCAAGGAAAAAACAGTGTTCTCTAACAGACCTTTCTTCAATTGATTAAGTCTCCGACATCATTACAGCAATACTATAGATATTAGGGATGTGAAGGACTAGTCGACTACCTGATAAGCAAATGCTTATCCGATAGCTGACAGAATAGTCGACTAGTCCCTAGGGCTGTTGCTATACTTCAAAGGCAGAGGTGCCCTATCGACTAATCGATTAGTCAATGCAAAATGCATCGTCAGTTACCCGATACTTAACATCCTCAGTAGATATACATACTTATCCCTTTTCCACTGTGCCTCAGCTTCAAAGAAGCATAAGTAGTCATCCTCCAAGCACTCAGTTAGATCGGGCACCCGGCGGTAGTTCCGATGATAGTAATAATATCTGTTCTTTGCGTGTTGCCGCTCCATCCATTCTGCAAGAGTCAACCACCACATTCATGCATCTTCAAGGTACCTTCAAACAAGATCTCCTTCAAACAGTGCTAAACAGGAGTTGGCTAGAGCCAATTAAATCAACTACTGGGCACAGCATTGTTCTTGCTTAGGATGGAAAGCATACCTGACAAAAATTGTCTCCATAACCTAAAGTGACTTGTAAACCAGCTACCTTCTGTCTGTCCTATATGTCACTGACGGGACAGGAATGACTAATATCTGGTGATTGTCCATCCACCCACCCTCACTTTCCAGAATTAACTACAACTAGAATGCTTAAAATAGAACAAGGAGATACAGTAGCCACCGCACTAAGCTCTCTTAAGCCTCCCAGCACCAGGCCTCTTACCCGCCCTCGCTGGGTTACTAGCCTGACCGCATGGATCACAGTTGGAAACACACCAGGGAAGGGAGACCAGCACTGCTCGTGTGACCCGAAGCAGGAATCTCTCCCGCAATCAGTGCCCAGCGCATAACCCCGGGGGGCCACTCCGGCACGGACACCCACCGGGCACTCGCCCCAGAGCGCCAAGCCCTGCGCTGGGCAGAACACGGGAACCGCCAGGGCACAGAGCTGGGAACCCTGGAGCTCGGCGGGGACCTGGCAGCAGCGGGCGATGCCGATGGAGCCCAGGAGCGGTCCGGCGGGGGCGGCTCCCTACTGGGTGTCTAGAGCAGCAGGCTCATGCCTGGCCCCACGGGGATGGACGGGCGCGGGGCCCCCAGGCGGGGGCAGCGGGGCCCGATCCGCAGGCCGGGGG